ATATAGGCCCTTATTTCTGCACGATTGCAATATGTAAGAGAAAGGACATTCCAAGCTGCCGGACTAAGCAAGGTCACTCTGTCAGACGGTAAGCGGTGAAATAGTTATCGTTTCTTAAAAGGCTCCTACCAAATATTCTGCGTCCAAGAGGACGACCAGCCCACAGACAGCGTGATTGTCCAGCATTTGTTTAAGGCAATGTTCTAGCCCCCTACCACGAGAGAGGACAGTCAGTGATGCGACAATACAGAGGAATACACGGGTGACTGGAATGGTCATTTCTGGTTTATTTGCCGTCCTCAGTCAAATATACCTAGCTCCTGGCGTTGCAGCACCCAAAGTTCGAGCTTGTGGCCAGTTGGTTGAAAGTCCAACGTCTTAACCCACTGCATCGCGGGCTCGTTGTCTTGCCCGGTTTGATTGGGAGTATACATTGAGAGCTAATTGTTTTCTCGACACCTGAAGGATTCCTAAATCACAAGTCTGGGAAGACTGAATGAATTCGGACACTTTGCTGCTCAAGAAGTTTTACAGTTGCTGCTGCAAACACCGCATACAGAAACCAGTCGAGTAGGTGTAAAAGTGTCTATGCGCGCGGGTTTAGTGAAGCCTTGTAGAGTCATCAGCCAATCAGGAAAGGGTGCAGGTATTGGCGTCAGAGCTCGCGAGGAATCGATTAGCTCCGGGCGAGAACGCGTCGACAGCGGTGGCACAAAAGTACAAGAGCGCGCAGAGCTAAGATGAGTCAGCACTGGGAGCGCAGCTAGACAAAGGTTTGGAAGATGAGAAGGTGAACACGCGCAGCACTACCGAATTCAGGCTGCCACATATAAAAACACCGATCGGTTACGGAACTCACTCCTTTCATGAGGCCTTGGTGTTCATTATTGATCCCCGCCCACAACCGCACAGTGGCTAGTGATATAGGCAGAATGTGGCTATGGGGGCCCTCGAGAATGAGCACCAAGGCACACGAGACGAGTGAATCCCGTAACCGATCCGTAAGCACCTATCAGTGCTCAGCATTTGTTGTCTCCTACCATGAGGACAATTAGCGCTATTCCCAAATACGGCTACTCCATAGTCTCAAACGACTGTTGAATTTCACTATGGGTCACGAGTCTGCTTTCGTGGTTTGAATTAGCCTGGACCGACTACGGGATCCAATCGTTTTTCTCCATGAGCTTCTTCTGTTTTGGTGAGGGGAGGGAGGACGAGGATTAGTTCGGGGGGCTACTAGGTGTGAAGACACGCGCTCCAGGCGTCCTCCCCTGGTTTTGACGCCCG